CCTGACACCAAAGGATTTGGCTTTGGACCCCCCGTTTGATTGAAAGTAGGGGGTTTGGGGTGGAGGCCGGGCGCGAGCCCACATAAGGCCTTAAGGGCTTCATATGAGCTACGTCCCCCCGTTTTTAAGCCTGATGTAAAGAGAAAACACAAGCACAACCATTTTGGGGTTCCCGTGAGGAACCCAAATGAAAGTTCCCAAAGAACCAAGTCCTGTGATTATGCAAAGTGGGTAGCAGTTTGGGAGCAAAAGTTGTAGGGGACCAAAACGGGTGTGTCCTTTGTTTGGCGACCACCAAAAAGTAGAGGTTGTCCTTTTGGTTTCCCTTTAAACCAACCCCAAACCAAATGGTTTAGGTCCAAACCGTTTGTAAGTTGTCTTCCATTTGCTTAAGAACTTTCTTTAAAAAATAATTAAAAAAAATATCTGTTGGTTTTAACGGGAATCTATCACTACGGGACATATTTTTATCGTGTTCAGTCAGGGGTCTTAGCCAAATAGAAGTTGTTGTTTCGGTTTGTCAGTCTGGCTCAGGGAGTACTGCTACTTGTACGCCACTGAGCCGCGACGCCGCTCGCTTTGAGGCGAGCGGGCGAACCGACTTGAGCCAATGGGGTGGGACAGGGGGCGGGGGGGGGGGGGGGGGGGGGGGGGGGAGGGGGGAGGGGGGGGGGGGAGAGAGGGGTGGGGGAGGGGGTGGGGGGAGCGGAGGGGGGAGGGGGGGGAGGGGGGAGGGGGGAGGGAGGGGGGGGAGGGGGAGGGTGGGGACAATCCCTGGCACACAAAGGGTCGATGCGCCACATCTGTTCGAAGGGATTCAGGTCTGCCAAGTTGTGTGGTTTCGAGGGGTGGGCTTTTTGTTGAGGCAGCTTCTTGGGGCTCGGTGCAGAGTGGCTGTTTTGCAGGAACCAACAGGAAATGAAGCAGGAATCCAACGATTTTGAGGGTCCGCTCACTTTGAGACTCGCGTCTGCCCTGGGGCTTCTTGATGTGGACCTCTTGAAGAAAGGATTTGATTTCCACGGGCCAAAGGTTCTGTGGGGCTCCATAAGACTGCCTGACCTGGCCATGCTGGTGAGTGCCCGCCCGTACGTGTTCGAACTTGTTTCCGCCCCCAATTGTTCGCTCAGGCGATGCAATTGCTTTTGACCGGGTTGTGACGTGCTTCTGAGTAAAGAGCCTGTGCCGTCCCATGGTTTGCACGCAGTAACTTGTCTTGCTTGTGCTTATGAGAGAATGACCCAGCGTGTTGGGAATGAACCTAGGGATTCCCTTAAAGGAAACCATAGGGGATGGTTTATAGGGCTCATTCCATTTCTCATTCCCTGCCTATTGAACCAGCAAGTCTTCATGGCTTCAATCAGAAGCAAGGAAGCCGGATGGCAGGGCAGCACTTGCCTTGGCTAGTCCTTGCGGATATGTGTCAGAGGGGAACTCAATCTGGAGCTCAGCCTGAACAGGGCACCCCGAAAAACGCACAGCCATATGTATCCGCATGAGTTGTCGCCGGGCCACCCAATGCTTCGACCAAGAGGCTTCCCAACAAATCGATCAGCTTGATCAATAGGTCAACCAACCGCCAAGTGCAAAAGCCTTGCAAGTCGTTTGTCTCAGGGCCAATGGTTTGACTGGAATTGCCAACCGTCGCTCACAGAGTTGTTTGCTGCCAGGCTTGAAACATGTACAACACGCGGACTGGGACACCTGTTTGGACTCTAGCAGTTCTGCCAGCAAATGATAGGCACAGACCGGCGCATTGCCACACAAGGATTCCAACCTCTGCGCATTTTCGCTAGTATTAGTAGACATTGAGACTGAGTACAGCATATAATCTTCACGCGGAAGCGACCTCACTCATTGTGTTGCATCCCCCAGTCCACGCTGAATTGTATGTATATATATATATATTATATATATATGGTCCCGTGTTTCGTGTTGCTACCTCCCGCCCAGATGGTATGGGTCCCCCAAAACCCCCCCCCGGCCCGAGACCCCGAGCCCCCGGATCCTGGCTCCTACGGTCTCACCCCCACCCCGACCATCTGAACTCGCACCCCGACACCCCGGCACCCCCCACCCCCAGGACAAGGCAACCCGCAACCAACCATAAACCAACCCTAAACTAACCCTAAACCAACCCTAAATGCACCCTAAACCAAACCCTAAACCAAACCCTTACGCCGTAAACCTCTAACCTAAACCAACCCTAAACACACCGTAAATACACCCTAAATACACCCTAAAGCAAACCCTAAACCATAGACCCTAAACCTAAACCAACCCTAAACCAATCCTAAATCAACATAAACCAACCCTAAGCTAACCCTAAACTCACCATAAATGCACCCTAAATACACCCTAAACCAATTTTAAACCAACCCTAAACCAACCCTAAACCACCACAACCCAACCACAGGACCACAACCACGGGGAGGGGGGGGTACTTGTCTGACCCATGACCATTGGAGGGGGGGGGGGACTGGCAACGCTGTACCATGTGTGTCTCAAAGATCAGCGCCCTTTGCATGTGGTATCAATTTTGTTGTCAGGCTCGCGTTGTCAATCCAGCAGGCACCCAACTTTGACTGCCAGAAATAACATGCATTTGAGGAGTTGTGCGAGGGTTCATCACGGTTCCTGGATTTCACCTTCCCAGGTGAGTCGATCCCGTTCAGGGTCGACGTCAAGGTTCGAACTTGAGGCAGGTTCGCCTTGGGACCGGAATTGTGGCTGTGCCTTTGTTTCTTCCCTGGAACACCACGCCAAGGTTCGTGCCCTCAAAGAAACACACAATGAGTCTGCTTCGAGGTCAGAAATTGCAACTTCGTGGCTGGGAACATGGGCCTTAGTCTCCTTACGAGCATTCGACTTGGCTTGCCTTTGCAACATAAATCTAGCGGCACACAGATCTAGCATTTTTTGGTTTGAAGAAGGTTTCTCCAACAGAACCGCGCAGCTGTTGGCAGTGAAGATCTCCAATTTCCAAAAAAAAGGAATGCTGCTTTGGAGTACTGGTACAGCTCTCTGTGATCAGAGTCGTTTTGTACTTCCAGGAAGTTGCTAGAGCAATGGTTTTCTTGCTGGTGCGATAGGGATGACCGGAGATGACCGACGGCTGTCGGGAATGAAGCTAGGCATTCAATGCAAACCATAGGGGATGGTTTGTAGGGATCATTCCATTTCTCATTCCCCTTCCTATCGAACCAGCAAGTCTTGAGGCGACCCTTTTCGGGCTTGGTGTTGTTTTCTTTCTCTGCCGGGAAACCGACGGATCCACTTTGAGGGTCTCCCATCATTGACATATGGACACTCGTGGAAGCATCCTTAGTGAAGCACATGAATTTAGTTGCCAAGCCATGATCCGGGAAACGGAAGGGCGGTTTTTGCATCCAATAGCATCCACATGAGTCTGCATGGCAGGGTGTCGATCCAATGATTCTCAGATCTCCATGGGTACTCCAGGCGTTATCATGTGTTCCTTTGTGCATGCGGCAGTTCACATGGAGCCTTGGTTGAACGGCCAGAGGAGGATGAAGGCCAATTTCAATCTGTGCGCCGCTACTCCCTTTCCTGAAGCAAGGAAGGTCGGTATTGGAGGGGTTGATGGTTGGCCTTTGGAAAATGTTTGTCTTCGACTTGCCCACCAAGAGACAATCTCAGAACGAGGGCCCTGGCTGCAAAAGGGCACTCTGGTGAAACCTTCGTGAGACACGAACTGGGGGATGAGAGAAAGCGTCTTGTGGAGTGGGACCTGGGCGGTAGCCGAGAGTTCGATTGTCGATGTGTTTCTCTCCCCAAACCAATGCTTCGAAGACGTCTGTATTTGGCAACTCCCATTGCCATGAACCTGGGGTTGGAGAGCAGCTGAAGTGATGTTAGAGGGCAATAGTCCTCCAAACGACGCCTGTCAGCTTCCATGTTAGGAGAGCTCTTGGTAAGCTCGATTTGACCTGCGATGTGAGAAGGCTCGAGGTGCCGCCGTGTGGTCCAGGTGCCACCAGAAACTTTCTTGAACGAGGAGGCCGGGTCGAATCCCCTCTTTTGAAACTATGGTGTTGTTGTTTTTTTGGCGGGGGAATTCGTGTTCGAACCGCACTGTTGCAGAAGTCCTGGGGACTCTGTGTAAGACCTCTTGAAATGGATTGTCAACTTGTTGTTCTCCCCAGCATGCCCCTTGACATGCTCAGGTAATCCGTTCCTACCTGCAAAGTATGTGTACGCACGCTCATGTCTGTGTACATATATATATATATATATAACTATGTATACACATGTACAAACACAACTCCTGGCTTTTTGACCAGTTAGATCAAGTTTGCTTTGCGGGGGCGCCGTCAATGTTATGGAGCATACACTGTGTATGTGTTTGCTACAGAGATCACAGGTCAATTGACGACGAGTCCCTTTGTTGTGCACGCGTGTTGTTGCAGACGTGCGCCCGGACTTGCTTTGTTGCGGGATGACAGGGCTTTGGGTCAAAACCAATGCTACCAGTTTGGGGCAGGTGCACCACCCATTTTAGTCTATCTTATGGGGATTGGGATGTTCACTGGGGGTACGGGATTTTGACCCATGGCCTGACAGCTTTAACAAGGAAGTCTGAAATCATGGGATATTTCATGTTAAGGTCGGACTATTCAACCCTCCGGGAAGGTCAAGCCTCAGACCAAACGTGTTCCGGAACAGAAAGCTGGTCTGAAGGTATGATAGCTGTAGGCCGCTCTGAATGAGGACCGGATTCGTTAGATAAAGTTTCAATTGGCCTGGAATTGAATCCATTGATTTCCAGTTGGGCCCAGGAGCAGTGTCTCACTGACACTCAGCGTGAACATCTTCGCAAAAGCCATATCCTTCAGGGCCTTCAGGGCTCCACTTCTTGACTCCCCCCAGGCGTGGTTTTCATGTCCTCCAAGTGGACCCAACTCAGCATCCTTGGTTTCAGGAGACTCACCTCCAGCCGCCTTGATATCTCTGTCCGTAGCCCTATGACCCTGTGGACAGCATGTCCCTTTATGTAATTGTGATATGTTGCAAACCTCCTATCTACATTCAACTCCACTTAGGTTGTCCACAGTTGTTGCATTCAGATCTTGGAAGTAGTCCTACGAACAAATCGTACTTCAACGGTCTACCTTCCTTCCACAAACATATTCTCTATGGGAGGGTACCCGCAGGATCAGTTTTCTCTTAACGCGACCCCCTGTCACTTGCTCATGCTCAGTAGGGAATGACCTTCAGGGTGTTGGGAATGAACCGGAAGGGGATTCCCTTAAAGGAAACCACAGTGGATTGATTATAGAGTCCATTTCTCGTTCCCTGCGTTGCCATGGCGACGTGGGAGGGTAGTTCCGCTTTGCATTGGGGGTGGGGGGGGGGGGCGGCTTTTTCCTCACTCAGGACTCGGAACCGGCCGCAGATGCAGCCCAGGCCAGCGAAAGCCCAAAACTCACCCGGCAACACACAATGCGAATGTATATGTCTCCGGTGGCCCATTTAAGACAAGGTCCGGCAGAAATATACTTGCCTCTGTTCAAAACAACACTTGCTTTTGTGATTCACTAGTCAGTGCATCGGAGGTTCATTGCGAGGCCTTCCGAGATTCTCGGAGGTCGAATTGTCAACATGTGCTTGCGCAAGTGTGTCAGTGAACATTTGGCCCTCGGGTGTCAGAACACTTTCTGTAATCGCTCGAAGACAACAAATGGGGAAGCGAATGCGAGTATCAGGATCGCAAGAAGCGATTGGGCATCCGGCGACATGTTTGCTTTGCTGGAACTCCCAAGGGGTCGACCACGTAGCTATGTAGATGGATATCCATGGCCCGTACCACACAGACAACGCACCACGCATGCTTCACGAGTTGTTGTTATCGTGTTTTTGTTTTGCCAGGAACCTCCAAAGGACATGTTTGTTTCGGACGAGACAAAGACAGACACTCACGACACTTGTTCCAATATGTCTGCTTGATGGTACACAATTGCCAAGGCTTGGAAAGCAGCAGATGGCTGTTCCGCTGTTTCCCATCAATCATATCAGCACTTTTCCTGTAGTGCTAGCCGAAGCTCGCAAAGGCATGAGAACATGCATGCTCTGAAATATCAGCTCGAACAACCAACTAAGCAGGAAGCAATGCCACTAATGAGAATGAGCAAAACTTTGTTCTTGTTGGAGTGTCCAGGTCTACATGCGTACGTACATACGTATGTGCGTTACGTGTGGGACATACTGTCCTTAGCTGCGTAAGGACTACACAAGAGACAACATGATACCTGCCCGGATGCATCCAAGTCTGACGGTTCTTTCCGACATCAACAGCTCATGGCACAGACTTTTTCCCATTGCCCAACGAACACAGCGCAAGGCGATGGATTGTTTTTGGTGGTTGCGCGCCAGGAATGGCAGCCACGATGTGCCAAGATGTGCGGTTTCTCTCCCGGGTTTAGACCTCACTGGTTTTTCTTTTCTGGCCAACTTTCGGTTTCGAAGGAGTCGAGTCATGTCGCAACCAAAGGGAAGACCCGAAGGGCGCACTGACAACCCCTTCAAAACCAGTGGCTTGATCGAAGAAAAGATCCCAAGAAGGCTTGGTGGGTTGGTGGTTTGGTGGTTTTGGTGGTTTTGGTGGTTTGGCCTTTCTCTCGTTCACCCCAAGAAGGCAACCCTCAAAACGCATGAGAAGATGCGGCACCCGCGTTTCTTGCGATGCCAGATCCGACTCCGGCCACCACCTGGCGGGTGTCCCAGATTTGGTGACCGTTAGCTGGTGGTTGGAAGGGAGCAGTTCCGGAGCTGGTGTTATCATATGTTTTGCTCTAGAGGGAGCCTTCCGGTGTCGAACGGATGGTGGCCTGAACTAGGACATCTCCATGGATTTGATGAATCGAAATTCCAAAGGATCTATGGAATGCGAAGGGTTCAATTGGGACGCTCAAAACCAACCCCGGGCCCCGAGACAGAGCGGATTGTATCAAGGACGCTGAGAGGATATGTCAAGGGCTCTTGTTTGGAACGCGGAAATTGCATGGACAACTGGAACCAAGACAGTTGATGCATTTTGCTCTGACCGACAAGCTACGGGCTCTCATGTGGAAAGCCTTACAAGCTATCAACATGGCGTTGGCTTGGCCTTTGCCAGTCTCCGATGTGGTTATTTCATTTTTCCCATGCGCCTGTTCCACGATATGTCGGGTGATATCAATCATGCGCTCGGCCGTGGCGACTACGCAGAGATAACGACGATGACGGCGTGAGCCAGTATGTTGTACGGATTCGAAGCCTGCGGTATGGGGCATGTCCATCTGACTACCACTTGCTTTGAGCCGACGCTTGACCAGGCGCTACACTTTTTGCCTGGCATATTGTTTTTGCTTTGGCCATAAGTTGCAGAAGACAGCTGATGGCTAGCGCATTAACTTGTTGAGCTTTTGTGATCATGTCGTTTAAGTCTTGGTCCCAGCGGTTGAAATTCATCAATAACGTTCCTGCAACTTCCTCCCATCTGAATATTTTCTCTGTAATTCAGAACGGCCCGGATAACGCGTGTTTCAATGCAGGTTGGTCCTTTGCCACCTTTGTGGGACAAATTTGGTATACCTGCAACAGGAAATTTACAGCAGCCCCGGACCCATACATGAGTTACCACGCTGGCCTTTGGCGTGCATCGTTCAAGGCCCTGCTCCCTCCTACAATTTCCGCCGACGCTTGCCGGGCAACCAAGCAAGGGACAGATCGTTCCATGGCGAAGCCCCCGCACCTTGGGAGCTGGCTTGACTTGTGGGGGGCCCCAACAGACTTTGTAAACGACTTTCACCGATTTCTTGTCGGGTTGTGACAACCTTAAAAACCGCGCTGTGGGGCGATGCGTTTGTTATGCTATGTCCATGTCAATGCAGAGAGAGGCCTTGCTCAAGCACAACACTCGCCGGACCTGGGCTGATGCCAAGTGACTTACCTTTTTGCGGTGCCCTCTGCACCCTTTGATGCAGACATAGGTTTTGGAGTGGATGAGAAGACAAGCTCAGAGCTGGTCTTGAGCAAGAACCAGTATTGGTCGAGCGGGCCACGTTGGTAACCACGCACAACCCGCTTGACTGTTTATTAAAAGCATAAGTATCGTCTTTCTGGATGGGGAGTTGATTCTTCAATGTTGCCTAACGGAAGTGCATGTCTTCTCCTATGATTACTGCACGTATCTGCACGTGCTCAACAGCCATGTAGCTCGCCATATTTTATAGGTGTGCCCTGAAACCGCTGTCGTCTAAAGCGAGCACAGGTTTCTAGCATGCCACAAGGCGCGGTGATTTCTGCGCGAGAGCTGGAGAGTGGGTGTGGCATTGACCCTTGACCACACTTGACCACACTTGACCACACTTGACCACACCTGGAGCACACTAAGTGAGCCACAATCAAAACCCGGGTAGATGAAGGTTAGTAAGGGCCAGTCCCAGCCGGAAGTAGTTGCGGATATCCGCCTTTCTAAATCTTGAAGCATTCTGGGTTTACCATTGTACCGATCGGTTTCGAGCAGGTGACTCGAGTAATAAATGTATAATTCAATTTAATTATAATTCTATAAACCAAATCTAATATAAAAAATATAAATTTCCAATTCAAATTAAATGATTTGCCTTTCCCTGTTGGGCCTCGGCTGTTGACTCTCCAGTGTTCGGACCTGCGGCATGAGGTATGTGGAGCTTACGAGTCAGGCCTGATGCCGTGGCACTCTGGTTGACTTTTGTTTTATCTACAGCCTGGCAAGTCGGCTGGCTTTTTGTGCGACCTTCTGGATCATAGGTGACTCAACTGCCGAAGCCATGCCTGAAACCCGGTTCACGCGAGGGTCTGAGATGCATCCAACATGGCGACTCCTTTGCCATTCCAAATGCCATCGTCCATGACAGAGTCTTCGCGAGAGCCATTCATGTTCGATCAAGCAATGTGCCCGTGTTCGTGCACGCGCACACACACACACACACACACACACACACACACACACACACACACACACACACGGGGTCCGTCATCGTCCTTGTTTTGACTGTGGGCTCGGAAGACGTCCTTCTCAAGCGTGATGTGTTGCATCGTGCCACGCTCCAGCCCTCTGATTCTTGGTTTCTTGAACAGTGAGACCTTGTCAATAGGGATTTCCAGATTGCAAACTTCCCGTTGAATGGACTGCGCAGCAAAGTCCAGCTAGCCACGTTTGGGGAGTTTCAAAGCCAAATAGATCCCATGGTGGGGTAGGTGCACCACCCATTTTGGATGTTCACTGGGGGTACGATTTGGATTTTGACCCATGGCCATGTAGGTGTGGCCAGGTCATGTTTTCGTTAGACTCAGTGCCTGCTTGCTGCTTCCCTTCTGCCACCTCGCTAGGTGGCAGAACAGGATGCAGAACAGGTGGCTGAAGAGGATGACGAGGTGGGCAACTGGCCGAACATACGTGTCCTTTTTGGTTGATTTGGTTGAAAAATAGAGGGCGATTCCTGGTTTACCTGGTGGTTCAATCAAATACCAGGACCATCTATTTTCCCAAAAAGGGCATCTATGTAAATTTATTTTCTTGGATCCAGTTGGGGGCTTGAGAAAGATATTCCCTTTGGCCCCTAGGCTTGAGCATGGGAATAACTTTTTCCACGTGAGCAAAGTGTTTTTCTGATTTTTGCTTTTTTTCTTGGTTTTCCTGACGGTTGCACCTTTGGATCAACCCCCAGTTGTTGTTTCCTGTGCAGCTGGCGTTTGCCTCCACTCCGCCACTTCAAGCATCTTCAAGCCAAGAATTCAGGTCCACTTTCGGCTGAGTCTGTTTCGTTGTTGGGTTAGTGCGTTCCGGCATGTCCGCAGGATTTGGCGTGGTGACTTATGACTTCTCTTTGCAAGAGGGACCCTAAACCCTGAACCAGACCTGGCCAGCATTAGGTGACATAGGGGTTTTCAGCACCAAGCCCTGTCTCAGTAGGAAGACTGCGGTAGCTGCAGCCCACTTTTGAGCTTTCAGGGCTGCGGAAGCAATGGTCTTTTGGATAAAGTTGAGCTGGGCGCCTCTTCCTGGCCCTTTTCCGCTTGAAGAGTCCTTGGCGGCTCCCAGCCATCCCCTTAGCCTTTTAGCCTTTTAGTATTTCTCACTTCCTGAGTTCATGAACTTTAATTTTTTTGAGAAGACCATGTTAGTGGTAATTATAAAGTTTGAACTTTTTTTGGGCCATCCACTCAGCCAGTGAGATTTAGTGGTAGTTTCCATTCAACCCACTAAAAGTTAAACTTGTAGCAGGGGATCTGAGGGCAGCCCAGGCTTGAAGAGTGTGAGAGTCGAGAGATAGAAAAAATCCGCAGAGCCACGTTTGTAGCATTTTTCTGCCTTTTTCGCGAGCTCACCGATTTGGGGAAAAAGCGAGCTCACCATGATAAAGGCCATTTGCTAGGAAATCCCTGAATTCAGGGATTTGGGTTATGGAGAAAACAAGCAACGCTGATGTAGTTGAGTTGAATTTTCTAGTTGGCCACTCCATGCGATTTCGATCGCGGCATGTTTCCAAGCAGCTCGCCCTGTCCAGCGATGGCTGCCTGGGTCTCACCTTTCGCGGCGGTTCGGGATGTTCAGGTGGTGATCTGTGGCCCCTTGCAGCAGCGCTATTTTGGATTCATTTGGAGATGGAGGCGGGGGGAAAAGGAAGTTATAGGGGTAACTTCCCCATTCTTTCCAGGGATCCTTCTTTCTAGAAAACCACCAAAAGCCCTGGAGAAATGGCGGGTTCTTGAAAAGAACGATGGCTGAAAAGAATGGGAATTGAATCAACCCCTAGAGAAATGGGCGCTTTAGCACCTCAGGCTTAGGGTGTGGGGTCTAGCCCTTGGTGCAGGGCTGGGGAGAAAAAACTGCCCGCTGTAGGGGAAGGAGCTTAGGTGGGTGCTTCCAATAAACTTCCATTTGCTCAAGAATATTGTTTATTTTCCCCTGTTGGTTTTAAAGGGAATCTATCACTACTGGATTTTTTCCAGGGGACTTAAGCAAATGGAGGAAAACGAGGCCTACGCGTGGTCAGGGCTAAGAGCAATTGCTCTTTCTCTCGCAGCAGCGATTGGTCTCCTGAAGAATTGGTGCTGACTCTGAACGATTCGCCAGATAGCATGGCTGAGGGTACAATCTCCGGAGGTGATTTCTCACGTGACACATGCGGCAGCGTAGTTGCCTTTCGCCTATGGGGAAGGCTGTGATGTGGCTGACTTGCCGCGCAGGCGCAGTGTTTTGAAAGGTTGCGCGTTTGCGTTGCCGTGCCATTCTGATTTGATGTTCAGGGGTGTGTTTGTTTGAAGTGTCTCGCTTGGCAGGCCCGCCGCTTGCGCTTCCGCGAGCGTCATATACTGATGGGGCGGAAATCTGCTGGGTTTCGGAGGAGTTGAGCACCTTGTTTGGGAAGATGTTCACGAGCCAATCCAGCCAAGCATGATCACTCCACGCAGACAGCTCATCTCTGGTTTTCTCCCGCGATATGTCGAAATAGATGCAAGCACCAAGTGTCCCACAAACAAATGCCCGCTAGTGGTTTGAGCGGCCTGGGTTTGAGACTACGTCGTGGGTGTCATTCGGTCAGATGACAGGTGTGTCTGCGTCTGTGGGTGGGTGCGCGGCTGTTTGGAGGAGCAGAACCCGTTTGGACAAAGCCACAGAGACATGCAGCGACAGAGAGATGCAGGTGGTGCGTTCTCAAGGGCGCATCGTTCTTCACCTACAGACACGAGGCATGTGCCGTTCGCGTTGTTGGGTTTTGGGCATTGTTTCGCTCGGTGATTCCTTACTGCTTGTGACTGCTATGCCAATAGCTCCAGCCTTGCCTCACTAGTTTGCACTGTTTGCCGGCAAAGGTGACTATGAATGGATTCGATAGTTTGTTCAGGTTCCTAGCAGCTCTGTTTATTTGGTTTCGGAAACTGGACGATTTCAGCTTGGACCCTCTACCGTGCTTGAACGGCGAAAAAAACAGCAAAAACGGGATGTGGTCTAGCGGGAGTTCCCAGCTGGGAGGACACGCGCGCACAGCAGTGCATTTCTCAGCAAGGTTCGTGGTGTGCCAAGCAGAGTTCATGAGTCATTGCCCGGTTCGAATGCCCGATTTCAATGCAAATCATGGTATCATTGTGCAGGTCGTCTTGTGTTGCATGCAGTTTGGCTTCCAGCGAGACCCCAGCACGGATGTAGGCATGCATGTAGTGTTTCGGCTAAATGATCCTATGCACGCTGCGGATGGGAAGTTGATGGAAGGACCCATTGCAACAGTGTAGCAATCAAAGAAGGCTGTGCGCTCAATATGTAGGCTCTCTTGTTGTTGGTTGTTTTTGGCAGGAGGAACATTGCAGACGCACCAACGGACCATGTGCGCCATGGTTATAAACCCTTGGGCTATTTCATGGACGGCCCTTTGGCATTGTTGTGAAGGCTATGAGCTGCAACTTTTCGACCAGCAAGCTGTCTAGACCGAACATGAGGCCATGCCCAACACCATGTGCTTCATGTTCTGTGTCCGTATGTGGCCGGTTGCAAGTGTCATGTGCGGTACTGGGAGCAGGAGCATGACTAGGTCCCCCAGTAGTGCCCTTTTACCCTTTTTTGGGAGAGGGTTCCACTACTCAAATAGACTGCAGTACACCAAAAACGGTACCCTTATTCTAACCTCTCTACTGGAGGACCTAGATGAAGCATCAGTCGGCTTGGCAAAGAAAAGGGCCCAGCCTCACGGATCTTGGTTGACCTCTCCAGCTCATCCCTCTCCTATGAAATCCAATGTGTACTGTCTAGGGGTGAAGTACATGCCCTTTGTTCATAGCCCTTGGTTTCCCTGGTTGCGAACCCATGCAAGGGGTACTCCTTTTGGGGAGACAGATATGAACATCAGCAGGCCTTTTGGGTTCATTTGCCCAAGGGGTATCTTGGTGGCTCCCAGCCATCCGCTCCAGCGTTGTGCACGATTTCGCGCGCTTGCACAAATCGGAGTCGCGCCTGGCTTGGTCTGCACACAGCATGTTGCATATCAGCGGCCCTCAGATTTGGACTGATATTCCGAGAGCCCCTCCACCCACTTTTAGCCTGACCAACTTGTCAGCCCGTCAAAAGAACACCCGCAAGATTGACCTGACGCACGAAATGGAATTTGATCAGTCCTTATCTGCGTCAATGTATTGTTCTTGTTCTAGCTAATTCACTTAAAACCCAAATGTTGGATTGTTGTGTGTTTGTGGATGTTACACTTGGGGACGTCACAGAACAATGCATCAACATCAGCCAATTTGCACATATCTCAAGTGATCAGAGTCAGCGTCACTCTTCACCTGCTTCGCCCCGATGTCGGGCCGCGTGCGCTGGAGGACGGAATGAGTTCACCGCAGCAAGGTTTGATTGAGGTGCAACCGACGGCAAGCATAGGGCCCACCAGCACATTGACCTGTTTGGGTTTAGGTGACTGCAAGTAACTTGGGTGCTTTCAGGCGAGGCACCGGGGCGAAGTGACAGTGGCAAAGGAGTGCTTGAGATGCCGGTTGGCGAGAAAGTTGGGGCCTCAGCAAGACATGACGCTTGCAGAGCTCGGGTTTGCGCATTCCTGCACGGGAATTTGCTAGCTGCCTGGAGGCTCAGAATCATAGCAAGGTTGCTGTGCTGAGTGTTTGTTTCGTTTGCTTGAACAGAATTGGACACATGGCAAGTGAGGCTTTAAACGTTAAACTACTGTATGCTCTACTGTGCAGCAACACTGGTTGGTACAAGTCAGTCATTGCAGCACAGGATCGTTCTGCACCTGTTTGGAGGATTCATTGTCATGCTATAGTATCATTTCCACTCATCGAGCCCGTGTAGAGTTGTCTCAAAGTAGGGACCTGATTCTTCAAGCCTACACCTGGCTTATCAGATGTTGGTGTTTTGCCGAGTTTATTTCTGCAAGAGCCCAAGGAGTTCATTTGGTGCACATTGATGAGACTCGAAATTTTGAGCTGCCTGTAGATGGCATGCCTCGTGCCCTCGTGCCAAAGCCATGCACCTTATGGCACTCTACAACTTCAAGCGGTTTCTATACTGGTTGGAGTTGGGAGGGTAGTCAACATCTTCCACCCAGTGGGTTTTGTGGTACTCTTATTAGTGGTTCGCCGTCCGGCGAACCACTCGTGTTTGTCTCTGTTGACAGCACCTTCTATCACAAGGTAAACCAAAAGGACACCTTGTAAACCTTGGAAACCTTAACCCGCAAAAGATGAGTACCCCTTTTATCACAAGGTAAAGTAAAAGGAAACCACCGATTTTTCGCGGGGCAACAAGTCATCTTCGAGGTGTCCCCAGAGGAGGCTCTGCGTGGCACCGAGTTCGAGCTCTTACGGCGCGGCTCCCGAGCGGTCGGGCGTGTTTTTTGTTCTTCTCTCTTCTTGTTTTTTTCTTCTTTCTATGTTTTGTCTTTTCTGGGAGGCTGTGAGGTTTTTCTTATTGTTCTATTATGAATGCCTGTACCCCCCCCCCCCGCCCACCCCCCCACCCCCTTAAGGTAGTTGGGTCTTATCCCTAGGCCGGCTAAGAAGTGGATGTATCAGCATTTTCCCTAAGACTTCCTAAGCTGAACCTAAGAGACCCCTTGATTTTGATCGGAGATTCAAGCGATACTTTGCTGCGTCCCCCTAACCTAGGGAAATCATAAGAGATTCGAATTGCTCTTTCTGAAAGTGCTGCGTCCCCCTAAGCTTTGCGCAAACATGCCTCCCCAAGGTTTCTTAAGGCTTCCCTGGGGCTTCCCTAAAGTTCCAGCTTCCCTAACGCTTCCCTAAGGCTTCCCTAAGGCTTCCCTAAGGCTTCCCTAAGGCGTCCCTAAGGCTTGCCTAAGGCTTCCCTAAGGCTTCCCTAAGGCTTCCCTAAGGCTTCCCTAAGGCTTCCCTAAGGCTTCCCTAAGGCTTCCCTAGGCTTCTCTAAGGCCTCCTTAAGGCTTCCCTAAGGCTTCCCTGAGGCTTCTTTAAAGGTCCCTTCCCAACCTAATTTGCAGGTTTGGGCGGTATTTCTTGTCCAATCAGCTTTTCACGATTCCCCAAGAGACTCCCATGTGTTCCTGCCATGCGCATAGCATAGTGTCAGACCAAGCTTCCCCAAGGCTTCCGCAAGGCTTCCGCAAGGCTTCCTAAGCCTCCCCTGCAAGAGGCTTAAGGGCAGGGGGTGCTAAAGGAGGGGGGGGGGGTACGGGCTCCAAAATTTTAAGCCTCGCAACAACCTGACCTTGACACATGGCATTGTTTGATGGTTCTAAGCCTTCGCAACGACCTGACCTTGACACATGGCTTTGTTTGATGGTTCTATGCGAGGCGCGCAAGGACATGACCTTGACACAAATGCATTTCTAGAATTGGAACAAACACACACTGGTTTCTTTGGCACAAACACACCGGTTTACATAGGATTGGCACGAAAATTTGCCAATCCTCGCGGAAGACTTCGGCAGAAAGCGTGTCTTCATGCTCAATGATTCCTGAATAGCCGTTTTGAAGGTGCTCCACGTCTAGGCGGAAAGTGTGCCAAGACGTATCGTTCTGTATGTGGTTCACCCCCCCCCCCCAGCGCTGGCTATATACTGCCAGACTACCAAGATACACCTTAAGAATGGCTTTACCATGCTTTTCCCCAATATGTTGTTGTTGTTTTTTTTGTCCGGCTTGAGTCTATGAAGGTGAACTCGAGACCATCGCTACAGAAGTTGCTTTGGTTTGGGAGCGTCCCGTGACGTGAGACACTATTTAATTGTATTGGTTTTGATATGCAAGATATTGTTCTTGTCAAAGTACGAGGAAGTGAGCTATACGACTTTGTATCCAGACGACATCTTGACGGTTTGTTTCTCGGTATTTAGCGAGGTTCTGTAATGCTCCCAAAAGGTTGTTTTCTGGGTCTTTTGGACAAACATGGTAGCAGTCACGAGGCACATGGGACATTGAGACCAGTAAGCTGCTCAAAGCAACCAAGTAGCCTGGCACGGGTTGCAACGGGCAACTTCTGCACGCCAGTCCCGTCGATCCATCCAATCCCATGGACAGATTCGGGGTTTGGGGTTCGAGTTCTTTTGGCGCTGTTTGCAACTGGGACACCATCGCCGGTGCTATGCTCGATAGCGGCTTCCCTGGGATCTCTTGCCGCAGATGTCCCCTCATACGTTTGATTCTTGACCTAGTTTGACAACTGACTGAGTTGGACCATGTTGGACCTTTGTTCTTGCCTCACTGGCCAGCCGGCCTGGTTGGCCTTCTTGTCCAGTGTCATCCTATCGTTCGCCAGTGCCAAATGTGAATCCTTGTGTTTAGGTCCTTGGGAAAGAAAGTGTTTACTTGAAATCAAGGTTACAACAGGTCCGTCTTTCCCTGCAAATTCCGTGAGTGTTTGACAGTTGAAACTGCCAGGCAGCTGCAAAAGGCGGTGCGGACTGTAATCCTGACGGCCACCGTCAGCAACAGGCTGGAACACGCTTGTGGGCCTTGTCTCCAAATAGAAATAGGCCCAAAATGGGTGGCGCCCCTTTGGTTTCCCTTTAGCTTCCCCACAACACCACCCGAAAAAGATGCCTTAAAACAAATGTCACCCACCTTGTGGTATTTGCGGATGGCTCAAGTCAAGAGTAAGCCCCAACATCGTAGCGGGTAGAAGGTAGCATATCACTTGAAGCAGTGATCCCATGGTCCCTCATGTGGAGACATGCACTTTTGCTTGAAGTCTACAGCTAGAACCCCCACGGAGAGAGAGATCATGCAGTCAGTGTTGAATATGAAGGACTCCTCCGAACGATGTCTTGATGTGAAGGGTGTTTCCTATTTTGGGACATACTAAAGGACATCCCAAAAGGACATCCCAAAAGTATCTATATAGCCTTGCCGCGTCACCCTTTGGAAGCGGGAGGTAGAAAAGCAGAGTGAAGAAGTTTGCAGCGAAGAACAGTATGTGCAGGATCCAAGCGGGGCAAGTCACCGAGTCGGCGAGCGTGTTCTTACTTGCTGCAAGGCTAATGGTAATCCTCATTTGTGACTCATGGTGTGACGATAGCTGGTATTAGATCAAACGATCGAGTCTGATTGACATCACCCCAATCTAGCCGACCTGATCCTTCTTTGAGTATACATGTTCTCACTATTCCGAAGTATTGTTGTCGTTCCTTGCGTTCAGTTTGATTATGTATGATATGTGTTAAACATATATATATATATATGTTTGATTATTATTGAAGTGGGTCTTCTCAAAGTTTGTAAGCTTGCTTGCCCACGTCTCCGAACTTACCTCTCCTTACCAGCTGCTGGCTTGTAAGTTGGAAGCTCTGCTGCAAAACCTGGCTGTTGTGCCGGCAGTGTTTGAACTCTGCTTCAAATGGCTTCTAGTGTTTGAGTCGATGCCTCAAAGGTTGCGCGATGGCCAGCGAACTCAGGAAAGTGTTTGTTGCGGATAGGCTGTTTGTTTCTTACCGCGCACTTCGCCCTGTCATCCTTCTGATTTGTCACCAAA